AAGTTTATTTATTTTTGAGAGAGAGAGAGAGAGCAGGGGAGGGGCAAAGAGAGGGTGAGAGAATGAATCCCAAGTCAGTTCTGTGCTGGCAGCACATAGGCTTGAACCCATGAACTGTGAGATCATGACCTGAGCCAAAATCAACAATCAGTCACCCAACCGACTGGGCCACCCAGGCACTCCAAGATGGCTTTATTTCTAATTCTTTGAGGAAGCTTTATATTGTTTTGTATAGTGGCTGAAACAGTTTACATTCCCACCAACAATGAATGAATGAGGGGTTTCCTTCACATCCTGCCAAGAATTTTTGTTTCTTGAATTTTTTTTTTTTTTTTTTTTTTTGGATAATAGTCATTCTGACAGATGTGTGGTAATATCTCCTCGTGATGCATTTCCCTAATGATGGGTGATGTTGAGCATCTTTTCCTGTATCTCTTGGCCATTTATATGTTTTCTTTTGAAAAACATCTATTCAGATCTACTCCCCATCTTTTAATTGAACTTTTGTTGTTGTTTTTGAGTTATAAAAATTCTTCTAATACTTAGGATGTTAACCTCTTATCAGATATATAATTTACAAATATCTTCTCCCATTTAGTAGGTTGCTTTTTCATTTTGTTGATTGTTTCCTTCTCTGTGCAGAAACATTTTTAGTTTGATATGGTGTCATTTTCTTATGTTGCTTCTTTTTCCCTTGCCTTTGGAGTCAGATCCAAAAAGAAAAAAAAATGCTAAGAGCACTGTCAAGGAACTTACCACCTATGTTTTCTTCTGGGAGTTTTATGCTTTTAGGTCTGACATTCAAGTCTTTCATCCATTTTGAGTTAATTTTTGCATGGTGTAAGAAAGTGGACCAATTTTGACCTTTTTCATGTAGCTCTTCAGTTTTCACACAACCATTTATTAAAGAGATCATTCTTTTCTCATTGCATATTCTTGTTTCCAAAATTAAATGACCACCTATGGGTGGTTTTATTTCTGGGTTATTTTGTTCTATTGATCTCTGTCTGTTGTTAAGGAAATACCGTACTGTTTTAATTACTATAGTTTTGTAGTATAGTTTGAAATGAGAGAGTGTGATATCTCTGGTTTTGTTCTTCTTTCTCCAAATTGTTTTGGTTCTCTGGGGTTTTTTGTGGTTGTGGATAAATTTTATAATTATTTGTTCTACTTGTGTGAAAAATGTCATTAGAATATTAATAGAGTTTTCACTGAATCCACAAATTGTTTTGGATAGTATGGACATTTTAACAATACTAATTCTTCCAATCCATGAGCATGGAATAACTTTCGATATGTGTTATTTTAAATTTCTTTCATCGTGTCTTATAATTCATACTGTATGAGCAGCGTGTTGATCTCTCTCTCTCCTCTGTCTGTCTCTCTCTCTCTCATCACCCCATCAGCCATTCTAGAAAAGTTAGTCCATTTGCATTTAAAGTAAATTTTGACAGGTATGTATTTACTGTCATTTTGCTCATTATTTTCCGGATGTCTTTGTAATTCCTCTCTGTTCCTTTCTTCTTTTTCTCATTTTCCTTGTTGTTTGATAATTTTCCTTAGTATTATGTTTAGATTCTTTTGTTCCTGTCTTTTGTGTATTTACTGTAAGTTTTTACTTTGTTGTTACCATGAGATTCACATATAACACCCTAAGTATGTAATAGTCAATTTTTGTTGTTAGCAGCTTAAATTTGAACACATTCCCAAACTCTATATTTTTACTGGCCACCTCCCAACGTTTCGTATTTTTGTTGTCACTTTTAATATACTTTTATTATGTATATATATTAATGTTTTATTTATTTCTGAGAGAGAGAGAGAGAGAGAGAGAGAGAGACAGCGTGGGCAGGGGAGGGTCAGAGAGAGAGGGAGATACAGAATCTAAAACAGGATCCAGGCTCTGAGCTGGCAGTCAGCACAGAGCCCGATGCGGGGCTCGAACCCACGAACCCGTGAGATCATGACCTGAGCTGAAGTTGGACGCTTACCTGATGGAGCCACCCAGGTGCCCCATTTTATATATTTTTAAACTAATTGTAGTTTTAGTTAATTTTACTACTTTCAGCTTTAATCTTAGTAGCCTTATAAATAATTAATCTCCTTCCTTTACTATATATTTACCTTTTCCAGTGATATTTTTACTGTCATATACTTTCTTATTCTAAGTAGTGCTATGTCTTTTCAGCTTAAAGAAATCCCTTTAACACTTCTTGCAAGGCCTGTTTAGTGGCAATAAAGTACTTTACCTTTTGGTTATCTGAAAAACTCTTTATCTCTTCTTCAAATCTGAATGATAACCTTGTTAGGTAAAGTATTCTTGGTTGCAGGTTTGTTTGGTTTAGTTTTGTTTTCTTTTGAGCACTTTGAATATCTCATGTCCTGCCTTCTAAGTTTGCAAAGGTTTTGCTGAGAAATAATCTGATAGCTTTGTGGAGTTACCCTTGTAAATAACAATTTGTTTTTCTCTTGCTGCTTTTAAGGTTCTCTCTTTATCTTTAACTTTGGATATTTTAATTATAATGTGTCTTGGTGTGGCTCTCTTTGGGTCCATTTCATTTGGAAATTTCTGGATTCCTGGATCTGGATGTCTATAACCCTCCCTAGGTTAGGCAAATTTTCAGCTATTATTTCTTTACTTAAGTTTGCTGCCCCTTTCTTTCTCTCTTCTCATTCTGGGACCTGCTTCATGTTGTCCCAGAGGTCCCTTAATTATCCCCATTAAAAAAAATTCTTTTCTTTTTGCTGCTCCATCTGGGTGAGTTCAAATGCTTTCTCTTCCAGCTCTTTGGTCCGTTCTTTTACTTCATCCAGTCTGCTGTTAAATATATTTTCCAGTTCAGCTCTGAGTTTTGTTTGTTACTTTCTTGTTTCCTCTCTTCATTGAAGTACTCACTGTATTCATCTGTTCTTCTCCAGAGTTCAGTGAGCATCTTTATGACTATTACTTTGAATTCTTTATCAGATGAATTACTTCTCTCTGTGTCATTAAGGTCTTTTTCTGAGGTTTTGTCTTGTTCTTTTGTTTGAAACACATTTCTCTGTTTTCTCTTTTGGCTTGATTCTCTGTTTGTATCTATGTATTAAGTAAAACAGCTACCTCTCTCAGTCTTGAAGGAGTGCCTTGATGTAGGTGATTGCCCTTTTTCTTCAAGCTTGGCATTGCTCTTCATTGTTTCTAGATGGACTCTTTTAAAATATGCAAGTATGTATAGTCCTGTGGGGCCACAGATCTCCTGATCTGGATGTGTGCCCTGGGCAACAGTTGCAAAAAATCAGGGTCTCAGAAAACTATATAACTCGTTTGGGAAATCTTAATTAAGATATAGTGAGGCCACGAAGGCGGGCAAGGGTACTGTCTCTCCATGCTTATTTTCCCTGGGAGTGCCTCCTTAGTTTCTATATGTGGGAAACCTGAAGCTTATCCCTCAAGCTGAAGTTCCACGCTAAGCAAATAGGCCATTTTTCACCTGAAGATCTGGCTTGTGTTTCAGTCCGCTGTCTGTGCAGGATAGTGACCTGGCAGGAATAACCAGTCCTTTACGCTGATAGCTGTCATTACTGGATTTTGTTCTTAAGATGATCAAACCAGCCAATTTTGTATTAAAATAAGTAGCCTTGTTGAGCTCATTAGAGATTTGCTGACATGTCTTCTTCACCTGAGTTTCATTCTGTTTGTCTTGGTTACTGCAACCTCAGAATTCAAAGCAATATTTTGAAATTGCAAAATATTTTAAGTACAGAGTTGTGCTAAAACTTGTATGAACTAATATCAGGGAATTTCAGGTAGTTGGCCTCTTATGAATGACAACTGAATACATATGAGCAGAGTCGAAAGAAAAAAGAAGGAAGAGTTTTCATGGGACTATGTCATAAATGCAAGTCATGCCTACTTACATTTCCATAGACTAGTGGTTTTCAAATGAATTTTTATTTGCAGAATTTTGCAATAAAATCTTTCAAAAGACCCCAATATATACACCAATGGAAGTCAAACTATTTTGAATGGCAAATAAGAAATGAAGAGCCCTCATAGATTAGCTGTCACTCCCCATGATGGTGGGGCTCCTAAGAATGCTTGGTTGAACTGAGGGGCTCAGTTTCTCCAAAAGGACAGTCTGTTTGCTGGATCTGTCATCATGGGTCACACGATTCTCTGAAGTTCTACTAAATCAATTGCACAGACACAGTACGGTCCTGAATTTAAATATGTTTTTGAGAGTCATAAGCTATGGAACTAAGAAACTATTGGTGGTAAGGCTAGAATGAAGTAGCCTCCTGAAGCAGAGATCAGAAAGGGAGAAAGGGTCCCGGTGGCCTTTGATTCTTTTGTTCCCATATTCCTGAAATCCAGCTGTTTCCTTCCTTTTCCATGAGCTGATTGTTCCAACTTTCCTTCAAATTCCTTTTTGCTGAAAGCTAGTCTAAACTGCATTTTCTTTACTTGCAACCAATAGTCCTGACCTATTACAAATACCATAACCATGGTTATTATTATTATTTTTTTATATTCCAACCACATTTGTAAAGGCTGTTGCAGGTGAAATAATGCAAAAAATGAACATGACAGCCTCTGCCAGTAGAGACATGATGATTTGGTGAGAGAATGTGGAATGTAAAATAATAATTTCAATGCAAAAACCATGGCTAATTATGTTTCTTAAATTTTTTTTAATGTTTATTTATTATCAAGACAGAAACAGAGCATGAGTGGGGAGGGGCAAAGAGAGAGGGAGACACAGAACCCGAAGCAGGCTCCAGACTCTGAGCTGTCAGCACAGAGCCCAATGTGGGGCTCGAACCCACGAACCATGACACCATGACCTGAGTCGAAGTCAGATGCTTAACCGACTGAGCCACCCAGGAGCCCCTAATTATGCTTCTATATGATCAGTGATTCTACAAATCATTCTGAGGAAAGTGTCACTGAACCAGGTAAACTTTCTCTTTGATATCTACTAAAATACTTTTTAAAAAATTTCTTTAATTTCACGAATAAGAGAGAAAGACTGATTGATCACTCAATGAAGGAAAAACCAGCTGCTTGGAGAGCCGGAGAAATTGAGGGTTATTCAGAGGATGTATCTTACTTGGAGGAACTGGAACAACACAGATTTTCAGTTTGGTGAGTAACTTACCCTCTCCTTCTATTTTCAAATTTAAATTCATTGAATTAAGGATGTCTTTATTCATTCCATTCTTTTCTTATTCATTTATTCAACAAATATTGATTGCATGCCTATTACAGGCTCTATGATATGTGCCCTGAATTGAGGAAGCTCATAGTCCAATAAAATATATGGATGCTTAAAAACATCAATGTGATGTGATAGTGCTATTAAAAAAAAAGGCACAAAGTGCAAATGGAGAAGCTGATGGCCAAGTTTGCTTGAGAATGGAGAGGTGTTCTTAGAAAAAGTTTGAGTCAAATCTTGAGGAGAGGAATCTGTGGAGAAATGGTGATGATTAGTTTTGGGTAGCATCTGGAGACAGAATTGAGAGGGTGGCCAGGGTGGACATGTACTATAAACCTTAGTTTACTTAAGATTCAAGCAGATGATAGTTATTGTTCTCTTTACCTGTTGATGTATATATAGATTTATCTGTCTATGCAAACATATATAGAATAAATATTTTTAAAAGTACATGTAAGAATGAGCAGTGGAGCTTCTTAGTGGTAATGTGATAGACCTTTGCATTGGCAGGATTCATCAAGGGTGGGGAAGGAACAACAGAAAGTGACAATGTGACCCAGAGAGTAATCTAGGAAAGAAGAAGAGACTGAATAGCTTTTCAGAATCATCCATTCCAAACTACTGCTTCCTTCCCCACCTCAAGATCCATGCCCTGAATGGTTTTCCCAATGGGCAGTTATCTACCATATGACTTAGTTCCCAAAGAGTGTTCTTTTACTCTCCCATCCTGGACCCACCATCAGGAAATCATAGTATCAGTTCAAATTTTGCTTATCCAGTCACAGTTTTAGTAAGTTCCACTGGTCTTAGTTGAATTTAAAAGTCAGGGTGCCTGGCTGGCTCAGTCAAAGGAGCATTTTCACCATCGTTTTCTTGAAGCAGCGGAAGTGTGATCCCCAGGCTAACTTGTGACTCATGCTCTGAATCAAGAGATGCAAGCCTCTGCTTCAGAAACATCATGAAGGAGCAGGGACCAAGGAGCCCAGAAGATGCGAAATATACATACTTCTTCTAGGAAAAAATGTAATACGCAAGAAACACTGTAAGTCTAGACTAGGGATTGGCAAATACAGCTCCAAGGCCAAATTCTGTTCTCCATCTTTTTTTGTAAAAAAAAAAAAGAAAAAAAGAAAAGGAAAAGAAAACTAGTTGTAATCGAGACACATCAGTTTGGGTGCATATTGTCTTTGACCATTTTCCTTTACAATGGCAGAATTGAGTAGTTGAGGCAAAAAGCACTGTGACCCATAAAGTCTAGAATATTTACTAACACAATCTAATCACTGATGTAGATTATGTCTCTGTTGTTTTCTCATGACATATTATTTTAAAGATACTTTTAGGCTTATGTTCCTTTACCAGGCTGGGGTGGGGGGGGGGGGCTTATGTGTTTTGGTTGTCTGTTGCTGCATGATGAATCTCTGAAGGTTTAGCACCCTGCATGAGCAGCCATTTTATTTGTTTGCAATTCTTTGCAATTCTTGCAATTCTTTGGGTTGAGAATTCAGGCAGGGGCACGTCATAGAAGGCTTGTCTCTGCTCCTCCATGTCTGAGGGCATCAGCTGGCACGACTCAAACAGCTGGGGTCTGATTCGAATGCTTCAGCTCGAACCATGTGTCTGGGATCCTGGTTCCTGCTCTCACCTGAGGTCCTCACTTTTCCACACGGGCCTCTCTCCACTGATGCTTGGGCTTCTTCTCAGCATGGCTCCTGGGGTCCACATAGCATCTTTCCAAGCAGAGAAGGTGGAAACTGCAGATTATCTCAAGGCCAAGCTGTCGAAGTTACACAGTGACACCCACCACATCCTATCGGTTAAAGCAAGTCACAGGTCCAGGCTGAGGAAGAATAGATTCCATTTCCTGATGTGAGAGTGGAAAGGCTCCATTATTGGGATGGCAGGTAGTGTGTGGCCACCTTTGGAAGCATGATCTACCACATTTTGCTTCATTTGTTTCTGTGTGGACAGCTCCTAGCATCAGACTCAGCAAATATTTGTTGAACAAAACAAACAAGTTAAAAGAATTAAAAGAGTGTAGGGTTTATGGATAAACCTGAGTATGAATTCCAGGTCTGCCCCTGGTTGTAGCCTTAAACAATTTACTTCACTTCTCAGAGACTATTTTAGCCTGTATGAAACCAGAATATTAATACCCATACTGTGGGATGCTGTGGTTATTGGGAAAGTTGAAACATAATGTATATAAATCTAACATATGTATTTTCCATAAAGGCAACTAATATTGTTAGCATTAGTAATAATGAAATTTGAGGAAAATGTCCTTTCAAGAGGTTAATATAGAGGGCAAAGGTCATACAGATGATTTCTCATTTCTCACATCTGTCTTCCTTTCCGTTCTTCAATAATACCAAGCTCTTTAGCACATCATGGACTTCATAGTTGATACTTCCTTTGTCGGTAATGTTCTCTCAGCTTTTAGTTGTATGGTCAGCTGCAGATGCTGCAGGGCCCAGCATCTATTTTACCACCTTGGTGAGGACTTTCCTGACTTCCCCATGTAAAGAGGTGTCCCTCTTCTGATTATTTACTTTCTCATTACCTTGTTTTCCTATTTTTTTAAGTTTATTTATTTTGAGAGAGAGAGAGAGAATGAGAGAGAGAGAGCAGGAGGGACATGGAGAGAGGGAGAGAGAGAGAGAGAATCCTAATCAGGCACCACACTGTCAGCATAGAACCCAATGTGGGGCTTGAAGACACAAACTGTGAGATCATGACCTGAGCTAAAACCAAGAGTCAGAGGCTTAACATACTGAGCCACCCAGGTGCCCCCTTTGTTTTCCTTTTCAAAGTACTTATCATGGCTTAAATTAATGTTTTCTAGCTATTTCACTTATTTACTGATTTCTGGTTTTGTCACTAAAAAAAAGTTGTAGGTGGGAAGGAACCCCTCTTATCTGCTCATTCCTGGGTTTCCAGGACCTGGTTCTAGAATACCTGGCTTATAATAGATAATCAGTAAATATTTACCGAATGGTGAATAAAAGGTGAATAACAAGCTTCTCTCTCTCCCTCCCAATTCCTTTGGTTGTCATATCTACTTATTTGCTTTTAAGCTCTCCCTTCTTTTGAAATTCCTACCATTAAAAAAAAAAAGTAATATGGGATAATTAAGCACTATAAGCATTTCTTTTTAAACCAGAATTGAGGATACGGGGGCTGCTGAGACCTCTATAAACTTGTGTTTTAAATGGTCTGAGATACAATCTGAACAATTTCCTTGATGTTTTATTAGAGCTGGTAAATCATTTATTGGAGCAGCCTTTACCTAAATCCTCTCCAAATCCCTGTAAAATGCATTTAACACAGAGTACTGTACTACCCGGCTTCAAAGATACATATGACATTGTATGAGAAGTATTTGCCACAGTGCAAAAAGTTTAAATGTATGCATTTTCTCTATTTTTTATATGGCCTATCTCGCTCCTTTCCACTCTTCCCCTGTACCTCATTTGAACATGCTGATTTGGGGAAATTTGGTAGATTGTTAAGACCTTAGTAATTCACAGCTTCCAATTAAAAGATTTTTTGATCTTTATTTATTTTTGAAAGAGAGAGAGATAGAGTGCGAGTGGGGGAGAGGCAGCTAGAGAGGATGACACAGGATCTGAAGCCTCCACCAAGCTGTTAGCACAGAGCCCAACTTGGGGCTCAAACCCATGAACCATGAGGTCATGAACTGAGCTGAAGTCAGATGTTTAACCAACTGAGCCACCCAGGCACCCCACTTTTAAAAAATGTATAGGACCTTTAGCTAGTCAAATGCAAGTTTATCTTATTTGTAGATGTCTATAATTTTTTAAAGTTTATTTATTTTGAGGGGAGAGGAGAAGTGAGGAGGGAGAGTGAGAGAATCCCAAGCAGGCTCTGCGTTGTCAATGCAGAGCCTGATGCAAAGCTCCATCCTGCCAACTGTAAGATCATGACCTGAGTAGAAATCAAGAGTCAGATGCTTAACCTACTGAGCCACCCATGCACCCTTATAATTTTTTTAGAAAGCTTCCAAATATGAGATTGTAGCATTTTCTCAACCAGAAAGATACCCAACTGACTTGTCTCAGAGTGTGTAAAATAGGGGGTGCTGTTTCGGCACACTGCAACCCCAATGGGCCTTCTGTAGGCAAGGTCAGGTGATCGTAGGCAAGAGTCATTTTGGCTGTTCCTGGTGGGGTTTGTGTCTTTGCCATCTTTCCTGGGCCACAAGGTCTATCCTGGAAAGAAGTCTACATTTTGAGATATAGGCTGGCTGTGACAGGGTGACTGCCTTTGGTCATATTTTAGATACCCCTCCATACTTCTGTCGTACATGATTTATTTCCATCACCACTCATTGGGGTGCACAGTGCCTGTCTGTGTAGGTGTTCTATAGTTCTTCCCTCCCATTAGACTATAAGTTGAACAAATTCCACAGAAGTAGTCATGTTAAGTCTGTCATGTTAAGTCTGTCGTGTTCGTTCTGGCCTTCGCCACATGATTGATAGATTGCAAGCACTTAATAAATATCTGTTGAATTATTACATGAAAAATAAGACTAACATAAGAATATTGGCATATCCAGAAGGAAGTTCTGGCAGAAAAGCCAATGGCACAAAACTTGACTTTATTTTTTATTTATTTATTTATTTTAGTTCTTTTTGTTGTTGTTGTTTTATTTATTTTTTTAAATTTGCATCCAAGTTAGTTAGCATATAGTGCAACAATGATTTCAGGAGTAGATTCCTTAATGCCTTTTACACATTTAGCTCCCCAACCCCCACCAACCCTTCCACCAACCCTCTGTTTGTTTTCCATATTTAAGAGTCTCTTATGCACAAAATTTGACTTTAGAAGCTCTGGGCCAATTTGTCTGTGGTGGCTACTGGTTCTACCTGATGAGCATGTTCCTTCCCCAAGAATTCTTTTACTCACT